ATTTTTATCAAGTGATTGTGTTAAAGTCGTAATGAAGAAGACTTTGTGTTGTGTTAAAAAGATGAACCAAAACTCCTCACTCCTCACAGCCGTGACATCCAAGCCACTTAACCAAAGCCATGACGGAGGAAAAAAATCTACCCCGGGGCATGTGGGATTGGTTATCATCTTTGATTCGGCTTGAGAGTTGTTGCATTGTGAGTGTGTTTGTTGTGATTATAAGCTCTATAGTGTTTTTTGTATATTTTTGCCCATATATTCACCTCAAGTTCCCATCTATTATCTCTGATGGTAGGGGTTACTTGGGGACAAAAAGGATATATGGGCAGAGTTAGGTTTTTGTGTTTTTTTCATTTGTTCTTGTTTATCCCCTTTCTTAGGGGTTCAGTGGTAGTTTATGTTGGTTATGGTAGTTTTTATTTGTTGTTGGGCGTGCCTGGGGTATGCCCCTTGTAAATTTGTAAATTTCATTGTTTTATTTTATGACTTACTTACCCAAAAAAAAAAAAATTGAACCAAAACTTTAACTCAAATTCGTAACAAAATGGAGGGAGAGATTGGACAGAAATTACAATTGATTATTTGAATAATCAATTACAAAATGTTACCTTTAGAAAGGGCAATTTCGAAGCTTTTAAACCAATCAAGTTTTAGAATTACAAGGCTAATTTACTCCTACAAAATGTAATGCGGTGCACAAAACTAAAGTACAGAAATTAAAAATAAATGAAATTGATAAAGACATAGACATTGGATTTGGTCGGGAGATTCCTTCAGTCTTTGTTTCTTTCTATTTATAGCCTTCCCTTAACGCCTTCGGAGCAGTTGAACTGTTGTCTTCCGCGATGATCTCCTTTATTCTCGCTACTTCTTAGGGCCATCATCTTCCCTTTGTGTATGTGTAACTACTAGCAACTGCTTTTTGTTAACTCATTCGTCATGTATCTCTCACATATCGCTTATCGTATTTGTCTATCGTATTTGCCGATTGAAGACTTGTATTCGGAGATGAAACTCTTCACTATCTCATCAAATACCACAAAACACCATATATCACTTTCGAACTTAATAATTTAAATATGGCATCAAGAGTTAGGCACTAAAATGTTACTTTCTCACATAAACATATTGGTCTATTTAAGTATCTATGTGGTAGAAGTGTGTGAAATTGATATTTTGGTACATGAAATTACTATTTTCTTGGTTTGTTTGATTAGTGGAAAGTGTTAGAAAGCAAACATAGAGAAAATTAATCTTCTTGTATGCATTTTGTGAATATATATATTTTTTATATGCAAATACCAATCACTCTGCTTGATTTTTAATAAAAATAATTTTTAAATTTTGAATATATATATATATATATATATTTGTTTTTAGTGATTGATGTTAATATTTTAGTTAATTTTTATTTTTTAAATGCATCTAATCCAAATATATTTAAAAAATAAAATATTTATAAAAAAATCAATAAATACAAAAAAAAGTGTTAATTTTTTATATATGTTTTTTAGTATTTAATGAATTTTACAGATTTTTTTCACTAATTTTGTATTGTATGTAGATTAAATGAATCTAAAAAGTATATAAAAAAAAATTGATTAAAATATTAAAAAAATTCACTAAAATTGAAAAATATGAATTAAAAATTCAAATACTATTTTTAAAAACTCTAAAACCAAACCTAGTGATTTTTTTTTAATTTTTTAATTTCCTTGTTAAATTTTATTTATTCATTTATTTTTAAGTATCATTTACCTAGAAAGGGAGTTGAAGAAAGCAAAAGAGAACAATACTAAAAGATGAAAATGATGACGTGTAAAAAAAAAAGAGTTGGTATTTACACAAGCACCCTTTAAATTATAAACAAATATTATTTTGACTCTTAAATTATAAAAATATATAAATTGACATTTTAAATTATGGGGAAATTACATTCTAGTGGAAGAAAAAAACAATTTTACACAAAAGTGGAGGGAGGCAAGTAACCTTTCACTTGTACCCATCACAAAATCACTTGCATTCTACATGTTTTTGTAATTTTTTTTATCCATTCTACTGTGTTGAAATTTTTTCTTAAATTATTGAAAAATATTATTTTGTCTCATATAATATTAAAAAAAATGTAGAAATGGATCCTTTAAACTATTGATGTGTTTCATTTTGACTCTTTTTGTGGGAGCTTCAATTTGTGCACTTTTACAGTTTTCGACATCTACAATTTTACAGGTTAAGAATCTATTCATATGCTTTTATAGTTTAGGGATCTATTTGTACGCTTTTATAATTTAGAAGGTAAAATGATATCTTTTAATAATTTAAAAGGTCAATTTAAAAGTTTTTATAATTTATAGAGAATTACTCTAACAGTTCCTATAATTTAAGACTTGTATCACTTTGTTCCTGACTTTTCAATTGTAATATATTTGACTATAAATTTTGAATCTTGTTCTAAACAAAGACAATCAAAGATATTCTCTTTGTAAACGGTCCATTTCAAAGGCAAAATTGCCATACAACTTATTTTGTGTTTGTTAACTTGTATGTTGTTTGAAATGTAATAACTTTTTTTTTTTTAATGAATAATGTTAGAACTTTCCTAGTTTTAAAGTTTGGTTTTGTTTGATTTTCAAAGTTTATTTTCAAAAAATTTGTTTGAGAAACTAAAAATTAAATTGGTGAGAAAAATTTAAAAACACATCTCATTTTTATACAATTTTATCTTTTGAGAGGGTAAAAATAATTTTTTTGATATTTATTTTCATTAAATTAATTTCTATTTTTTCAAAAGTTAAACATGTCGACAACTTTGATATTCTTATTAAATAAATCTATTAAATCAAAAATAAAAATTAAAAACATTTCACATATTGATTATACATTAAAAGCCTTATAATCATCCATTACATGATAATCATCCAAAAATATATAGGGTAATGCTAGGGATGCTAAATTTTCTACCAAATAAATGATCAAATGTCTTATATAGGTGTGGGGTCCACAAATGCTAGGGATACCAAATTTTATACAAAATAAATGACCAACAATGCTACAGACTCCCAAAAAATACAACCTCTACTCACTTGTGATTGGTCCAGGAAGGAAAGAAAAAAAAACAAAAAAATAAAGACACATGATTGGTCCACATCATTTTGGGGGGTCCCAAGCATTTTTTGTAAATTACCAAAATGTCTCACGTGGGTGTGGAGTTCAGATTTTTGTAGACCCCACACTCATGTGAGACATTTAATCATTCATTTGGTAGAAAATTTGGAACCTATGGCATTTTTTACATATCTGTTAACAACAAATACAGTCATTTATTACATAATAACTATTCAAAAATATCAACAAAACAACCACCAACTGCATGATCGTCATCCAAATACATACTGAGAATTAATTTGATAAAAAAAACAAAAAACAAAAAATTTGTTATTTTTATAAATTTTATCTTTAATGGGTAGAAAAAATTATTTTTAGTGATAATTTTATCAAGATTAATTTTTAATAGGACTTGATGAGAATTAAGTCCGATTATTAGGACCTATTGGTAATTTACCCGTGATATATAATTTCTACGTTTTCATCTAAATAATCCAAAGAAAAAAGAATACGAAAAATGGTAAATTACAAACGTATCTCTTGAGATTTACTTAAATTACAGATTATCCCTTGATTATGCCTCCTAAGGTTTCTAATTTTATAGCAAATAGGCTGTCAAATTAGTTTATATTTTATCAAATTGACGACTTTGCCCTTAAAATAGAATAATTGTATATTCAATTATCTTTATTTAGAACGAGATTTAAAATTTAATATCAAATTTATAATAATTAAAAAATCAGATATCAAAATAACACAAATTTTAAACTGCATAAACTATTAAGGCTTCAGTTGGCAAAATAAACTTGGGACTAAAAAAGAAACAAAAGACAAAATAGACTAAATAAGCTAATAAGATAAAATGTCACGTTCAAACTATAATTAATTTATTTTTTCTCTTACAAAAATAAAAAACTAAAAAAATAATCCAAACTAACTTTTAGTTCCAAGTTAAAATAGTTCTAATTCAAAAAATTCAATTAAAAAAGTCTCAACCAAATGACAACTAATATAATTCGCCCTATAATTTAATAATTAAAGTGATATTTGGGATACTTACGTGTAGGTCTTAATAAGTGGATTTATTGTCTAATAGGTCCTATGAGAAAAATTTGTCATAAAAAAAATCACTAATGGTAAGCTTTAGCGACCATTTATAAAAATCATGAAAAAAAAATCACTAATTGTCAATTTTTAGCGACATATGTAAAAAATTACCACAAAAAAAATATTTTTAGTGACAATTTTATCAAGATTAATTTTCAATAGGACTTGATGAGAATTAAGTCCGATTATTAGGACCTATTGATACTTTGCCCGTGATATATAATTTCTACGTTTTCATCTAAATAATCCAAAGAAAAAAGAATACGAAAAATGGTAAATTACAAACATATCTTTTGAGATTTACTTAAATTACAGATTACCCTATATAGTTTAGAAATTATATTATGTCTCCTAAGATTTTAATTTTATAACAAATAAGCCTTTTAATTAACAAACCACCAAGTTAATTAAACATTTTTAATAATGTTAAAATTTTATTGTAATTAATAATTCAGATAATTTTATTATTATATAAGTGAATAATTAAAAATTTTAATTTTTTAATTAATTTTATGAAATAGAAAATTCTGATAAAAAAATATTTATAATTTTTCAAATTACAAAAAAATAATTTATAACTTAAGCAAATTTGGAAAGTGCATTTGTAGTTTATCCCCCCAAAAAAGGGGCAGATCGGCGCTTCTCTCCCCTTCTCTCTGTCTGTCCTTTTACTGCCCAAAAAACCCGCGGTCTTTCGCTTCACAAAACAAAACAACAAAACCAATAAAAACGAGAAAAGCAAAACCAAATCAATATTTTCTTTTAGAAAACCAAAATAAATAAATAAATAAATAAAAGCTCTCTCTCTCTCTCTCTCTCTCTCTCTCTCTCTGATATTTATAAATTCTCACCATCCTTTCTTCTCTGTTTGGTCTTGAAGAAATCTCTGATATTGCTTTTCTATTCTTTCTCTCTCCGCGAAAGTTAGGGTTGTATTTCTCACACTTGGAACAAAGAATACACAGCTACAAGAAAGGTACGTGTTTCGGGTTCATCAATTTCAAATTTCTGTTTTTTCCCTAGAAAGATATTCTCAATCGATCCCTTCTTAAACTTTGGATTTTATTTGTGCATTTTCGATTTCAATTTCGATTTGATTCAATTCATCGCCAATTTTTTTTTTTTTTGTGGGGATTGTTTATGATCCGTACAATTTGATTTTGACCTGAATTATATATGTAATTTTGATCAGGTGATATGTACCGAACAATCAATCTCAATCCCTTTAGGTTACTTTTGTTTTGCGATTTCTTGTGTTTTGATTTGAATTTAGGATTTTGTTCTGATTTTCTATGTATCGAATAGGTTTCTTAGTTAAAGGAAGATCTTTATTTATACGTTTAGAAATGGTGGTTTGTGTGTGTTGTAAACTGAGTGTGGTGATGGGTGGCTAGGGGGTTTGTGGGTTAAGAATGACAGATATTCAGCAACAATTGCAACAAAAGCCTGAGAGCGCCAGGGATGCCCGCACCGAATTTGAGCGGGGATTGGAGGAATTAATGCGAGGGCATTTGGATGATTGTATGTCATTTGCATCGTGTAGTTCTCCCCGTAATACTGAAGATGAGGATGATGAAGGTGATCAACTTGTTAGGAGAAGGAGGAGGTCAGATCTTGAGGGGGATGATCTGGCTGAGTCTTCTGCTGCCCGGAGGCGCCACTCACGGATTTTGAGTAGGTGGGCTGCCCGGCAGGCACAGGAGATGATTACAACGATTGAGAGGAGGAATAGAGAATCAGAGTTGATGGCACTCGCAGGTCTGCACACGGTTTCTACGCTTGATTCATCATTCTTGAGAGAGTCTCAGTCTCCGACTTCAAGGCGGCAGGGCAATGTTGAGAGACTGAGCACCCAGGCATCATCTATTTTGCAAATGTGGCGGGAGTTGGAAGATGAGCACTTGTTGAATCATGCTCGGGAGACGGTGAGAGAAAGATTGAGGCAGAGGAGTGTTGAGTCGAATACAAACGCCTCAAGCATGAATATGTCTGAAAGCCAGGGGACTGAGAATCATGTTAGTTTGGAGGATGCAAGTGAGAGTGAGAACGACTTTGGAACTTGGTCCCATGATCAGATGGGAACGCAAAATGAACAAGGGGACCGTGACAGTTCTAGCCGTGAGCAATCTCCTGACCTGGGTGAAGTTGAGAGGGAGAGGGTGAGGCAAATTGCTCGGGGTTGGATGGAGAGTGGCATCACTGATGATTCATCCAATGTAACGCAGAGGAGCAATAGTCCAAGAGCAGAGTGGCTTGGTGAAACTGAGCGTGAAAGGGTTAGGATTGTGAGGGAATGGGTTCAAATGACTAGTCAACAGAGGGCAGCTCGTGGTGGTCGAGGAGATGAACAAGTTGCTGGACTTGGTTCTCAAGTTGCCCATGTTCGTGAAGGTCTGGTTGTTGATCATGATGAAGGCCAGCCAGAGAATGTTCGCAGGGACATGCTGAGGTTGCGGGGAAGGCAAGCTCTGATCGACTTGCTTGTGAGGGTTGAGAGGGAAAGACAGAGGGAACTTGAGGGCCTGTTGGAGCATCGGGCTGTTTCTGAATTTGCTCATCGCAACCGCATTCAGGTCAGTTTCTTTTCAGTGATTTTTTTGGTTCATTATGTGGTTTTCTGTTGACTTTCTATGTGTCCCCCCTTGCATAAAAACTGGATGGGTTGACTGGAAATGGTATACAAAAATGCATTGCATTTGTTTGATAGAATCTGAAATCATTGTAGAATGTTCTGATGTTCTTACATATCTTTTGCGACTCTATAGTTTATACATGCAGTAGTTATTGGTTATGAGAAGTTGATTTAAGTTTTAGTTTTATTATTTTTATGGGAATTAGATCAAGTTCATGTCTGCAAGATGGGCCAAATCCAGTAATTATTTGATAAATACACAACGGATGTGAAATGCAGGATAGAGAGCAGTTGTTGTTTTTTCGGATTACGGACTACTCAGGGTGTAGTGTATTCTCGTTGAATATTTATGGTTAATTTCTTTATTTTTTCTTTTTGAAGGTTTTTTTTGGGTCAATTTTTGTCCTATTTCTTTTCTGTGTTTTTCGCTTTTTGTTTTGCTGTTTGAGAAATTTAGTTGTTTTTAATAGATAAAACCAAATGTTGAAAAATGTTCTGTAGGGTCACCATTGGTTGTTTTAATCTTGGGCATTGCATTTTACAGCTTAGATTGGATATGGGAAAGGATGGCTTCTTGCCTACGATTGAAAGTCCTATACAACAAGATGATTGCCGTGTACCATTCTATTAGATTGTACTTCCCTAGGCACACAATTTTAACTTGGGACTATTATTTACTTGTTTCAGTTGGTTTTATCTGATCCATTCTCACTGCAGTTCTACCGTTTTAATTTTAGGTATTGAATCTAAAATCAGTGCAGTTTTACATCTTCATTGCATACATTTTTCTTTTTATAAGTAATGATAATATATTAAAAGAAGCACCAACTGGTACAAGTGCAACCCATATACAAAAGAACCTAAATAAACTATTGCACATTTGGTAAATAAATATTATCAAGGTTTCAAAGATCTTGTCTACCGTAAATATTTTGATATTAGCTCATGAAACAAAAATATTGTTGTATTGCATTGGATAGGTTTTGATTATTTGTAATTTGTTTTGATTTGTTTTTTAAATCTGTAGTGCTTCATGTACGGTTTCTCTAAAACAAGAAATCAAAACGCAATAACATATGGATAATTACATTTTACTTGTTACTAGCAACTAAAGTATTTGTTTTGAGATAACCTACATCTTAGGTTCACATTTCTCACAGAATAAGGCACTGAATTATTTATTAACTGATTTTGAGCTCTTAAGTAGTTTCTTTGTGAATATGTTTGGTTCTGAGCTTGCATTTTATTATTGCTGTGCAAATTTTTCCAGTCATTACTCAGAGGCAGATTCTTGCGAAATGAAAGGCCTGTTGAGGATGAGAGACCACCTTCAGTGGCTGCAGGTGAATTGGTTCAGTTAAGACAACGGCATACTGTTTCTGGCTTAAGGTATGCAACTTTACTTTTTTTTATTAATTTATTTATTTATTTTTAATTTTTTATGTACAAGGTGATTGATTTTAATTATTAATCTCAATGTTGGTTGGAACTCCTTTGGTGTTGTTTATTTATTTATTTAAAAATTATTTTTGATTGACCTTTCAGTTTTTCTGTGATCTGGCTCTATAATGGGATTTTTATCCATCTGATGGTCTGAGGGAATGAAATGAAAAAGTTGCCTTAATAGTTTCATGCTTTTAGTATGATGAGGGGAACATTTTGTTAGGTCTCTATTGTAAGAAGATAAGTTTCTTCTTCTAGTTTGCAAGAAGTATTTAAGTTGGAACCTAAGAAGCACGGACACTTCTAAGACGGTGACGTATTCGTGTCGTGTCGTGTCCGTGTCGGACACCGACACTCTTTGGACACTCTTAGGACACGTGTCCGATACTCTTCAAAACGTATCCTAATTTTTAAATTTTTTTAAACAGCCGAACACTCTTTGGATACTTGGAAGACACATGTCAATCACATAAACACACGTGTCTATCGATTGGATACATGTGAAACTAATTATAAGTTTAAACAAAATAACTTAAGATACAATAATAAAACAAAAATCATATAAATTTATAAGAATTAGTGTCATATTGCATTTTTTATTATCTTTGAATGATATATTAATATATATAACATATAATAAATATATAAAATTAAATATTTCACGCGTGTCCCCTATGTGTCGTGTCCATCATTTTTTGAAAATTAACGTGTCAGCGTGTCCGTGTCGTATCCGTGTCGTGTCACGTGTCCGTGTCCATGCTTCTTAGGTTGGAACTCCTTTGGTGTTGTTTATTTATTTATTTAAAAATTATTTTTGATTGACCTTTCAGTTTTTCTGTGATCCGGCTCTATAATGGGATTTTTATCCATCTGATGGTCTGAGGGAATGAAATGAAAAAGTTGCCTTAATAGTTTCATGCTTTTAGTATGATGAGGGGAACATTTTGTTAGGTCTCTATTGTAAGAAGATAAGTTTCTTCTTCTAGTTTGCAAGAAGTATTTAAAACAAGTGTTGCCTCCATTGATAAAGAAAATTTTATGTGATCCAACATTTGAATGAGATGAGCAGTACTAACCTAGAATGCAATGACTTGTAAAAAACTGTTAGCCCATGGAATGGATTCTTAATTGATTTAAGCATATGACTGGGATTTTAGGTCTCTCTATGTACATGCACTTACGGGGGCATGCACGTTCTCACACGTTCCTGCACTTAACATACTCATTTATCTGCCATGGAGCAATTATGTGCTATGTCGTGGTTTAGTTGTCTGTTTCTGTGGACTAGATAAGTAATTTTAGCATTTTATACTTTGTAGTGACAATTTGATCGGATCATTTGGCAATTCTATGGTTTTCTGAGGCTGTAATGTTGGAGACTGTATTCTTCCAGTCAAGTCCATAGTTCTTTTGTTTCTCTAGAGCAACTTTGTGGGTTTCTTAATCATGGCTGTAAATTGACATAATGAGCAATTATTTCGAGCAGGGAAGGGTTCCGCTTCAGGTTAGAAAATATAGTTCGTGGTCAAGTAGGCAGCAATTCTGATACCTCATCTAACAATAATACCACTGATTCCAGAAATGATCAGATCCATACAAACACCCCACAGGAGGTCCAGCATGAAATCGATGAGCAGTCACAATCTAGGAGTCAGGAAAGTGACATCCAGCGGTTGTTGGATCCTACAGGAAATTCTGAAAGCAACTTGGCTGGTCAGAGCATTAATTGGCAAGAATCTGTTAATCAAGGAGGGGATTGGCAGGAACAAGGTCCTGGAGATGAGAGAGGAAACTGGCAGCAATCTGCGTATGATCAGTTTAATGAATGGAGAGACAGCACTACAGGAGATATGGATGGAAATTGGCAGGAAAATCCAGTTAATGATTGGCCTCAAGAAACTTCAGGAAATGAAGGTGTAGAAGAAGATCATCCACAAGAAACCCATGAGGTTTGGCATGAAAATGGTATGAGGGAAGCCGTGGAAAATTGGTCAGAAGCACCTTCTGACCCACCGAGAATGCGTCGTTTCATCCCAGTTAGACGAGTCAATAGATTCCACCCACCTGATGATGATAATGTGTATAGTATGGAACTCAGGGAACTCTTAAGCAGGTAGTTGTACGTCTTAAAGTGCTTCCATATTTTTTATTATTTTTTAATATTTTGAGCCATCTAGGCTTTTATTTTTTCACCTTTCTTCATAATTGGGATTTTTTTGTTCCATGTAGGAGAAGTGTCTCTAATCTTCTTCGTAGTGGTTTCCGTGAGAGTCTGGACCAATTAATAGAGTCATATGTGGAAAGGCAAACACGTGCTCCTATTGACTGGGATCTTCACAGGAACTTGCCTACTCCGACTCCTGCTTCACCAGAGCAGGATCAGGAGCAACAAAGGGATGAGCAGAATGGGGATCAGAGTGATGCTATGGGCAGACCTTCACTGGTGCTACCATCTCCTCCTGTGCCCCCTCCACAGCCTCTTTGGCATCAGGACTTACATCACACTAGTTGGTCTCGACATAGCATGCATCGTTCAGAACTTGTGAGTCATCTTTTATTTTGGTGCTAAAACATTGAATTAGTAAATACAACTCCCCTCTCAGTCAGTTGCAGCTTCCTTGTATGATATTTTATAGTGGAAAAGTGCATATTTGGATGTTCCATGAGAACTAATTATTTCCTTTGTGTTTTATGCATCATATATGGGTACAAATTCATCTGATATTTTATTCATGGTTATATCATTGATAATACAAATTCATCTTGTGTAATGGTCCCACAAAGAGGATCCTTATCCACAACTGGTTGCACTGGGTTGGTTTTGAACTTGTGGGAAGTTATATGGGAAATGCCACTACAATTAGTTAGGGTCAATTCCTACTTTAATAGACAAATCTTCTATTCATATTTAAAATATGTAATTTGTTGCTTTGAAAGGAGCTTCTAGAACAATGTGAAATATGCACTTGATTTGGTGGCTTTAGGCGTATAACCACTTGGATTTGTATCATGAGCACCTTTGTAATTTTAATATTGACTAACATACACTGCCATTCTGTGACAAATTGCTTGGTGAAGTTGGACTGTTGAGAATACCAATTCCTTCGTTTCAAATGATATTAGAGTTTGCTGGACTTTTACTGGAATTTTTCATATTCAAGTCACGAAATTTTTCATATTCAAGTCACGGAAAGCAGTCTCTCCACACAAAAGTGGGGGTAAAGCTGGCATACCTACTACCTCTACCAGACCTTTATTTTTATTTTTATTTTTATTTTTATTTCAAAAGCATAGTTATCTTGTCTTTAGTTTTTTTTATTTATGTTTATTTTTTATATGGCCAATGATTTCCAAAGATTTTTTATTATTGATCTTTTTGTTTTTTGTTTTCCTAATTTTAAAATCTGAGGAAATCCATACATACCTATCTCTAGTATTCTATATGTGTCTGCATTTTATGGTTTAAAGCTAAATGCGTTGATGCTGATTTGGAGCAGGAGTGGGAGATGATTAATGATCTAAGAGCAGACATGGCAAGGCTTCAACAAGGCATGAACCACATGCAGAGGATGTTAGAGGCCTGCATGGACATGCAACTGGAGTTGCAACGCTCAGTAAGACAGGAGGTCTCTGCTGCTCTAAATCGGTCAGCTGGTGGTGGACAAGGTTCGTGTACGTTCCCAATTTTAATGTTTCTTTCACTTCCTCTGCAGAACAATGAGAATCTTGATTTCTAAATTCTGGTTTCACTTTTGAAAAACTTAAATTCATTTTTAACCAAAAAAAATTGGGAGATTTGGTCAAAAGTCCCTCATAATAAAACTTTAATGCATTAAGGACAAGCACAAAAAGTTTTTCTTGAAAGGTCCAACATATACTACTATTACCAAAATATTAAATTTTAAAATAATATAACTTTTATCTAGATGTTTTTAATAAAATTAATATTTTTAGAATCTTCTTATCAAGATCTATTAAATAAGATTTATGTTGACTATGAAATTCTTAAAAAAAAAAAAATTACCGTCGAAATTGATATAAACAGTAACATGTTACTTTGGTTCACAATAATATGTTATTCTGGCAATATTGTCCAAGAAAAAAAAAGGATATTTTACTTTGTATTTTGCTCAATTATGCGCCTCCTTAGGGGGGGTTTATGAAGCAAAATAAATTGGGCTGTCCTTTTTACCAAACAAGGGTTCAATTGAGGGGTTTTGGCTAAATATTTCAAAAAAATTTAATGGCAGCAATTGCTTTTGTTTCTCCCTTAATTTATCCCAGATATTGTGTTGAAAATGCAATGCATTGCAGGGGTGGCAGAGACATCGGAGGATGGATCCAAATGGGGTCATGTTAGGAAGGGAACTTGCTGTGTTTGTTGTGATAGCCAAATTGACTCTCTTTTGTACAGGTACACCTTCTTGCTTGTGCTATTGTTGATATGCATGTATAGACAAGCTCCTAAACACATTCACAGATAGATAGATGACACGACTGACCACATACAACTGCATGCAAATGGAAAAGGAATTGAAATAACTTTTTATCAACAACAAACAAGTATATTGTGTCATTTTTGGTTAATTTTATGTTTGATTGTATATTGTGCAGATGTGGGCACATGTGCACTTGTTCGAAATGTGCCAATGAATTGGTTCGTGGAGGAGGGAAGTGTCCATTGTGCCGGGCTCCTATTGTTGAGGTTATCCGCGCTTACTCCATACTGTAAAAAATTTGAAAAGCTTAACGGAAAAGGAATAAACAAATGAAAAGAATGAATGAAAAAGATTTAGGGGAGTCATCACACCTGTCGCATATATCTTGACAGCTCTGCCTATTCATAATTATTGTTTGTAGTTTCTAGTTTGCCTCTGTTTTTCTGATTATATATGAAACGCTTTGCATTGTATAATTGGAATTACAATTGGCACCTTTTTGATTCTTCATTCATTCGTAAATAAAATTCTACTGGAAAATTCTTTATATATTATGCATTCTCACATCCTGCTCTGTGAAATCTCTCGAGTCAAATATTGTCAGGTAACGGGTTGGTTAAAATTTCTCAAAGAGGTTAATATCCCTTATTAGTATAGATTCAGCTTTAAATAAAATTAAATCTCTTAAATTACTGAAACATCAACAAAGTAGAATCAAAGTTAAAGGTCTGAGAGGGAGAACAATGTAACTTGTTTGTTGCTGCAAATTTTTGTACTTTCAATTTATTTTCAGCGAGATTACTCAATGGATATAATTGCTCTCCTAATGCTATGTTTGGATCTGACTTGCACAAAAAAAGTAAATAAAAAAAAAATTATAAAAAAAAAAAAGCAGTGGCAGCAGCTATAGGCCTTGGATTGATCAAGGCAAGGAAGATGAAAGAATAAATATAGTTTGTCTCATTTCATTTTCTTCTTATCTTTTGATTGTTCTCTTTTCCCTCCATAGACGAGCTGTAAGAATGGGAAACCAGTTTTCATGACACACGGGAAAGTGGCTCTTTAACTGTGTTCTTTTGTCAATGAAAACCATACAAATAAATTATAATAATCCCATTTATGGATATTGACAAGTGATGCATATTGAATGCAGCAGCAGAGTGTGATAATGCCATCTTTGGCATCGAATTATTCCTCAATTTTCTTGACTTCCTGAAATTGTTGTAATTTATCAGTCTTCACAGATGGCTCTGATTGATCTTTGCTTCATACGATAATGTTAGCCTCTTCCTTATACTGTCAATTTAGAAACTAACTTCACTGTATTTTTGTTCTATTATTAAGTCGAGAACCTCTGAAAGCTTTAGTTAAGATGATTTAAGTTTTAATTCGAGCTTATTACTAGTTCCGTTGAGTTTTTCTTCAATAGATCTGACATCTTCCGACAATCACGGTAGCTTTTTATGGTTATACACCAAGGTTCAAGGTTTTCTTTGGAAGTTGCAAGCTCTCAGTCATAGTATCTTTGTTTTCAAAGTCCATCTGGATTGTCACAAGCTTTTTTTGAGACAATTTGTAATTTCATTGCACTTGCTGAAGAGAAGCTTTAAGCCTACCTTTTTATCTTGCATGTAAAGTATGCATTTCAGTTCCATCTTCTAAAGATGTTCCTTTCTCTCATCATGAGTTACAGGAAGCTGACCAATGAGGTCTGCTACCTCTTGTTCAAGGTTTCCAACTTCAGCAACTCAAAAAGCTCCCCCTAGTGATGTAGGACAAGCGGTTGAAGAGTTTCTCAAACAACCAGCGAGGAGGTCGGGAAAGAGAGGCTAAGTAGCTAAGCTTCTTGTTTATGAATAAGTGTCTCTTAGCTATGTTTTTATTCTATTAAAATGATATCTAGTCCTGCTTGATGTTCCATTGCATCATCTAAAATAAGGTTCTCCGTATATTCTCTGTTTTGGTGATGGAGAGCATCAAATTTTGAATTCAGGACTTCCTCTTTTGAGGTAACTTTCTCCAGTATTCCAATTTTTTTTAATTTTTTTGCTTCTTTTAGGGTCTGTTTGTTTGAGTGTAAAATTGATTTGCAGATTTGATTTTTGTAAGTTAATTTGCGATCTATGCTCTCACCACTTACAAGAAAATACGGCGTACTCAACCCGGGCCTTGCAGTATTTGAAATTGTTTAGAGGTTGGCTGCCAAACATAAGAAAAAAAGATTAACGCTTCGTTAGTTTGAGCGGAAAATATTTTCTAATGGAAAATATTATTTACTGAAAAATATTTTTTTATATTTGGTGGTGGTGGGATGAAGGTGGTGGCATTGTAATCGGGCGGCGGCAACGGTGATGGTGGTGGTAGTTGTGGTGGTCGAGGTGATAGTGGTCCTAGTAGTGTGATGATATCAGTAAAATTTTAGTCTGAAAAACATTTTTCATCTATTAAAAGTAGAAAACATTTTCTATCTAAACAAATTTTTCATTTGATCATGAAAAACGATTCTATTAACTTATATTTTTTATTGTTCTAAGCGCCATAACATTTTTCAAGTAAAAAAGTTTTACATGAAAGTACATCTCGAACTCTTGAAACTACCTTTCTATCCTGGCTTGCTCCTCCGGCGTCGGAAGTAGAATTACCAAACAAAAGGGGATGGGGATAGACAGGAACTGAAGACGGTCATACAAAGGCCAAACAACAAGAAGCACTCAACTACTAGTCTACTCTTCTAGTGCTTTTTTTTTTTTCCCTCTATTAGTTGCGATGCGTACATGCCTTTACTTATGAGGTTAGTTGACTATGCTTGTGATAGTCTGTTGTAAGATATCTAGTTTTGAGATTTTCGACAAAAAAAAGGCCTATCCAGGTTGGGTTCGCTATCATCCATGACTTGTATTTTAGTCGGTCTGGAATGCCTTTGTAGTGAAATGAATGAGCAAGAGTTGTTTAAGAAAGACATGGAACATCGCTCTCCGTGGCAACATGGAGGGAAACAGATATTGATTCAGTCGGAGGTAGACTGCACTAATGAAATTCTTTTTCACATAAAACAAACGTAGCAGCATTCCCTCTTCCTTCTATTACTCTAAAGTCTCTTTTTTTTTTTTAATTTTTTTATTTAATCCTAATATTGCTATTTAAAATCTTGCCATTATTTATTATTTATTTCTAATGTACATAAGTTTATTACTCGATCAATTATTATTATTATTATTATTATTATTACAAATACATCACTCGAGATTCTTTAAAAGGAAATTTTGTCAAAATCCAATCCTAGTAAAACTTTTATACATTAAGGACAAACACAATGAATTTTTTTTTGAAAAGTCTAGCACACACTACTATTACCAAAATATCTTCAGTGAGTAATTTAATATTTTAAATTTTAAACTGATATAACTTTTGATTTAGATGCCGCTTTTTAATAAAATTAATATTTTTAAAATTCTCTCGTCAAGATCTATCAAATAATATCAATATTGGCTATGAAATTCTGTATAAAAAGAATTGTAAAATTTTTACTGCCGAAATTAACATCAATAATAAAATCTTACTTTGTTTCACAGCAAATTTACTGTAATTTTAACTTTTAGGGTAAATTACACTTTAACCTCCTGTGCTTTGCCCAAAACACACAAAACCCCCTAATAGTTTCATTTGTAACAGTTAAACCCCTAGACTTAATACCAAACTGTAATTTTGGACGAATCCGTTGGTTAAAATAGAACGTGGGCTTCACGAGTATAAAAGTATAGTGCAACAGAGCATGGGTTACACTCTTGGACCAAAACACCTCTTCTCTCTCCTTCATTATATAAATATGCAACACCAATTACACTTTAACCTCCTGTGCTTTGCCCAAAAAACACAAAACTCCCTAATAATTTCATTTGTATCACTTAAACCCCTAGACTTAATACCAAACTGTAATTTTGAACGGACGTAACAAAAGTAATAAAAAGTCATAAATGACCCTATATATTTTACACTCAGTCATTTCATTTGTATTATTTTGTATCTCTCTCTCTCTCTCTCTCTCTCTCTCTCTCATATATATATATATATATAAATTTTTTCTCTCTCACCATTACCACCATCATCACCACCACCTTTCAACACCAAATCCACCTCATTCACCCATTTTCACAACCAAGTTCCATCGCTACTACCATCAAGTTCCACGATCACCATCATCGCGAGCTCCACGTCATCGCTGGACTGTCACGACCACCATCGCCTAGCTCCGTCAAAACCAAGAACCACCCTTTACAAAGTGCTATGAAATAGCAGAAGATGGTGGATAATGAAAAAGAAAAATAGATTTGGAGATGTTTCTTTGGAATGTGTGAAGGTAGTTTTTGGATAACTTTTGACATGCCAAAACCACCCATTTTAGGAAGAAGTGAGAAAACGAGGTGGAGTAGGATGAAGTATAGAGCAAGGTGAAAAGATTGGTGAAAGAGCGGGATAAATTTGCTAAAAACCGAGAAAATTATGGAGTCCGAAAGATGAGCCAAAGAAATGTCGGAAACGGGAAAAAAAATCTTATTTTTGGTCACCTTTCAGAGCTCCGACAGAACGCGAAAAAAATGAAACGAGGCGTGTGTGGAGTGATATGAAAACTAGGCTGTGAGGTGAATCCAATGAAACAAAAATGAGGCAAAATAGAGTTACGACAAAAGAAATACAAGGGCTTGAAGTGGTGCGTTTGAAACTAAAAATCTTATCTTTTCGGGCTTGTTCGTGCATGTGGTTTGGAGAAGATAGAAATGGGTTTGGTTGGTATGAATCTCATCAATGCTATTTAAAAAATGTAATGTTTCCACATATTAATTGTTTGATTCCATGGGTTGGGTTTGTTACTAATTTGAATCATAAGGAGAAAAGTGTGTTTGGATAATTTTTAGAGAGAGAAAAATGGGTTTGATTCCATGATGGTGGTGATGTTGGTTGGTTGTGATTTTGCATAGAAGGCAATGGTGGTGAGATAAGAGGAGAAATAAAATGTGATGGTGCACTACAAGAAAATACAGATTTCGCGACTAAAATAAATTTTTTCGTCGCTGAAAGTAGTACAAATGGCGACTAAAATGGATTTAGTCGCCAAAATTGGTGACTTTTGCCGACTAAAAGAGTTTAGTCGCCGAATGCAAGGCTTTTAGCGACTAAAAGGCAGTTTAGTCGCCCAATGTGGGGGTTTTAGCGACTAAAGGTTGTTTAGTAGCCAAAAGTGACAGTTTTTGGCGACTAAAATAATTTAGTAGCTAAAAGTGATGGTTTTGGTGACTAAAAAATAGATTAGTCGCCGATTGTTGGTGTTTTGCCGACTAAAAACAGTTTAGTCGCTGAAAGTGAAGCTTTTTGGCTACAAAAAAAAATAGTAGCTAAAAACACTCCATTGTCGACTAAAATTCAGTTTAGTAGCCAAAAGGGGAATTTTTTGGCGACTAAAAACAGGTTTAGTCGCCAAAACTACTTATTTTTAGGCCAAACTTAATTTTTTTGTGACTAAATTATAATTAGTAGCCGAAAATGATAGAAGT